GTTATGTAATGGCATGAGAAGCCAAAAAGCCTACTACCTATGGACACTTATGGGTACACTAACAGCCTGTCCAAACTAAATGTAACATTCTGTAGAGCAAGTGTTTTTTGTAAGGAGGAAGGTAGTTTTGTAAAAGCAAGTCAGTTGCGTGGGGACCTGAAAAACAAGAATGTCAAAACAAAGAAAATATCATATAACTAAAAATACTAAAAATAAGCAACTGGGCATTGTCACAGAGAGACGTAGTATAAAACATAACAATGAGGATGTGTGGAATAACTGAAAATTAACATATAACATCATATGAAAGAGTGAATGTCATGTCCTCAAACAAACATGGTATACTGAATTAAGTAGTGATGTGTGCATATTGTATGTCCATGAGACTACTACTTAGAGCAACATACAACTACATACTAGTACCAATAACAATACAATATGTATCATAGAGGCCAAATATACCCTCTGACTCTGGAGATAAAGTTTATCAAATGAAAACCGTATTGCTGGTCTCAGGTATCAGGTAGCTAAGAACAATACACATCAGCGCTTGATTCTTAATGAAAAAACATATGGCTAAGAAGCAACGACCCTGCTGTGAACAACAATGCACACTTCATATGTTTACCACAGAGCTCCCTGCAGCAAAACCCCCAGAAATAAGCAGTGACACTGAGTACAAACAGTGTTCCCCAGCAACAAAACCCCCCAGCGACCCGCAGTCTAACTGGCTGTCTGGCAATCCTCTAAAATGTTGGGCGGCCAAACGAAGATGAAATATACTGAACCACAATGAAAACAGAATGCAGCTGAACAAAGGTCGAATGTACTTAACCAAAGTGAATATGTAGTGTGGCCAAATGTAGGCTGAATGTTCGGAAACCAAATGAAAATGTAGCATGGTCAAACTTAGGCCAAATGTACTGAAACAAAATGAAAATGTAGCTTGACCAAACGTAGGCCAAATGTACTGAAACCAAAGTAAATATGTAGCGTTGTCGAACGTACTGAACCACCGTGAATATGTAACATGGTCGAACGTAGTCCAATTGTACTGAACCAAAGTAGCTATGTAACTTGGCCAAATGTAGACCGAATGTGCTGAACTACAGTAAATATATAGCATTGCAGTGTGTAGGCCAAATGCATTGAACCACAGTGAATATGTAGGGTGGCTGAACAGAGGCTGGATTAATGTTACTTGGCCAAATGCACTGAAACACAATGAATATTTAACATTGACGAACATAGGCCGAATGTACTGAACCACAGTGAATATGTAACATGGGTGAACATAGGCCGAATCTACAATGTGTACAAAGAGAAGAACACCAGGGAGATTGCCCGATGTTTCTTTCTCATGACCACAAATGTATTCTCCACCGGTGCCTGCAAGCCATCATAAGCTGGGAGACCTGTGAACCGTAAGTTGTGTGCAATAACCTGGAGTAGATATAGGCCGGGAAAAACTTCCAAAACTCAAGACATACTGTGTATATATATAATAGCAAATCAAAGACAATGATGTTATTTTACTTGCTAATCTTGATAAAAATGTGTGATGCTTACTCAATGTCAGATGATATTGGGTTGTTAAGAGGCCAAGAATTTCACAATATATGGTACAGAAGAATCAAGACTATCTTGGCATAGTAAAGTCAAATTGATTCTCTCTGGGAGTGCATTTTAATGAACAGTGAAGTGCTGTGCACACCTATGGATATAAAAGACACATAGGAAAGCACACTATTGAATAATAGTATTTGCATATAGTCCCACTCTGCATGCAATCTAGTGATATAATACAAAAAACACTATTATTCTATTATAGCAATGATGTTTAACCAAATAATGATGAAAAAAAATACATTTATTAGTGACTGTTCTTTTCATTTCCTTCCTTGGTAGTAATCTAATGTGTCTGTGAACCTTATTAGAAATAAATAAAATCCTATCTGGATTTAGAAAAGATTAAAGCACAAAGATGAAATTTAATTAGTTCTGGAAAAACCTATCTAGAACTCCCACTGTAATATTTGATTAGGGAAACCCATTTATTGCAGACCTCCTGCAGTCTTATCAAACTACAGATCAGCTCTCAGTAAACTGGGGTCACTCACGGTGGTGTTCTGTTTTTTTGCGAGTCAGTCTGCATGGAACATAATATTCAATTATTATTTCATTAGTCATAACAAATGTGCTTCTAGTAAAATTACCTTTATTTTAGACATTCTGGTATTACTCTAATTATTGGTCTAATACTGTTTAGGTTTTAATTATTCTTCTCTTCCTTGAAGACAAAATTACATAAATCTTTGTTACTGATTATTTTTGGACATGTGCAGGTCCTGGCTTCCTGTGTTCTGGACTTGAAGGACGAACAAAGACTTGTGGGTCTTTTGTTATCCTCCTTTCAACTATAAACCAAGTGTGACGTGGGATCTTAAAGTAGATACAAATGAATAGTAATGTAATGCTTTACAAAAGGTTTTCAATGATTCCAATATGTTTGATTGTCTCCTGCTTAAAAAGTAATACTGTGGTGACATATTTTTTGCTGTACGTTACACAGTCCGTTGCAGGTGGACTGATGCCACTTGCCTGCTCTGCTTGGAGTGGTCGTGGAAATGTAGAGTGAGTTTATGACTTTCATCAGAGAAGGTCGAGCCAAGTAGGCTGCCTGTTACCTACGGCCAGGCTCCTGTAAACAGAGTATTTACTAATAAACAGATCTGTGGCATTTTGAACCTGAAATTGCATATATTAGTCAATTTCATATTGCTGCCAATAAAAAAAAATGTAAATAAAAATTTTGAATCTAGAAATGTATTTAAACATACGAGAACATGTGCACAGCCATACTTACAATGGATATGAGTAATAGTAAAGTGATTGTGTACACTATTCACAATCTGGGCTTGCTGCCAACATTGTATGGATACGGTCTATTATTGCTATACAGGGATTCATTTCTCATAATAATAAAACTATAAAAATGCCAGTGATATCCTTTTCTATAAAACTGTCCTTACAACCCAAAATTATGTAATTTACCTTTGGTCTCTGGACCTTTATCCGGAGAACATTGCTATTTGTTCAAAAACATCCCTGCTTATTACATAGACAACTTGCCACTTGAAACAAAGACTTAGGACTTTCCCTGTTTTGTGCCCTTTTCACCAAGGTCTCCCACAGCACATATGGGGCATATGCAGGGCCAGATTAACAGCCCAGTGGGCCTGGTGCTGACAATTATGATGGGCCTAATTATAGAATCTTATCGAACAAAAACACACACTCCCAAGCGTCATGTATCTGAAGGAGATGGTGCTGGAGGGAAAGAAAACAGCAGCTATAAGAAAACACATACCCTATGCTAATCTCTTTCTAATTTATTTTTTCATCTTTCAAGTAAATCAATAACCCCTAACAGCAGTGTCAAGTCAAGCAAGAAGTCAATGGGCACCGTAAAAGGGTGTGCCACTGACACAAAGCACGTAACCTGCCAAAAGGGGCAAACATGTCCAAAAAGAGGGTATGGCTGCCCAAAAAATTGGAAGGATAGCCTGGCATGAATGCATGTCAAGCTGCCAATCATGTAAGCTGGCAAACTAAGGGCATACTATGCAGACAGCACCCTGAGCTTGACATAAATGCATCTAATGATGCGTTTGCTCAAAGCTTTCTAAGGACTGTCCCCTAGCACTGGCTGGTCCACTTGTCTCCTTACCTTCTTAGTAGCAGGCAGAAGCTCCTAATATATAGTCTGGGACAGAGAAAAGCTGTATGTAATGAGTGTAGAAGAAAGTGAACATGCTGTTAGAGAGTGTTAGAGAGACCAAAGTCGGCATTAACTAAACTAATTTCATTGTCAGCCAGTCCACAAAAGTTTTGTTCCCATACATCCCTCTTAAGTTTCCATACTTAAGCAAGAGTATGTGAAAAGTAGTTAGGGTTGCCACCTTTCTTGTAAAAACATACCGGCCTTACTAATTTGCATAATTAATTATGTATGGTGACCACACGTGATGTAATTCACAAGGAGTGACATAAGAGAAAATGCTATAAAATCACTACAAAAACTACTTTGCTTGATTCTGCTGTATATATTGATTGCTTCCAGTGACTCGAGTCTCCCACTGTCCCAGTGTCCCCATGTTTCCCAGTGCCCCCATGTGCCGATTACCCCAGGTCTCAGTGCCCCTATGTATCAGTGTGTCAGTGCCCCATGTCCCAGTGTCCCCTAGTCTTCCAGTATCCCCTAGTGTCATGTCCCCAGGTCTCCCAGTGACCCTATATATATCACAGTGTCCCTATGTATCACAATGTCTCAATGACCCGTGTCTCCCTGTGTCTATGTCCCCATGTTTCCTAGTGTCCCCATGTCACTAGGACACTGGCAACATGGGGAGACCTGGGGACAAAGAGACACCAGGGACACTGGTAGACTAGGGGACACTGGCTGGCACACATGGGGACACTGGGAAAATAGGGGTCACTTGGAAACATGGGGACACAGACACTAGAGACATGAGGACATTGAGACATGGGGGCCACAGACACTAGGGACACTGGTGGGAGACATGGGGACACTGTGACACTGGGAAACTAGGTGACACTGGGAGACAAGGGGGCACTGGGAGACATAGGGAAACTGAGACACCAGGGACACTGGCTGGGAGGCATGGGGACACTGTCCCCATGTCTCCCAGTGTCCCCAAGTGTCTGTCATAATGTCTCCCAATGTTCCTTAGCGTCTCATAGTCTCCATGTCTCCTTGCAATCTTTCCCCCCACCTATCACTTCCCTGAGCTGTAGTCTGTCTCTGCAGGGTGGGAGTTGATGTCTGGACTCTCTGTAGCTGCTCCCCTGCAGATCAGTGAGTAGGGATAGGCAGGGAGGGATATGCTGGAACTTCCTATTATTATTATTATTATTATTATTATTATGGTATTTATATAGCGCCATCAAATTCTACAGTGATGCTCTCTGCGGTTTGGGGACAAGGAGCTGTCACGTGGCTGTCCCTCTCCTCCCTACGGAAGTGAATGCAGAAAACAAACCAGAGTTCTGGAGAAGAGGAGATTTAACAGAGGGGGAGAGGGATACAGTAGCAAGCAGGTAGAAAGGATTGTTTTCTCAGTAGCACCTGTGTGAGTTTAGCATTTTCTTTCTCACCTCTTCTTGGGGCATTAGCAATGACTGGGTGCTACACCCATACCGTGGTCAGGGGTGTGCCCTCCTCCCTGGCACAGGAGGCGGATGGGAAGATCGAACTGGCAAGAGCACAAAGGGAGAGTGGTGTGTACTGTGGCATTCTGAGGCAGAAGCTGGGCTTGCAGGTAGTGGAACTTCCCCCTAATGAGCACCTGGTCCCCGATTCCTGTTCAGAGGTGTCCAAGATTGGGGGCTGTCTGACAGCCTGCTCTATACTAATAAGCCGCAAAGTGGAGATATAAACTCAACATTTCGGCCAGGCCAAGGGAGACCTGCATAGATGGACAGCTTTCCTCTGTGTGAATGTGTATGTACACTCACTCCCTTTCACTCACTCCCTCTCAATGTGCATAAATAGAGCTCAAATTCCTCAGCGCTTTACAATGGGTGGACGAACAGACATGTAGATGTAACCAGACAAGTTGGACACACAGGAACAGAGGGGTTGAGGGCCCTGCTCAATGAGCTTACATGCTAGAGGGAGTGGGGTAAAATAACACAAAAAGGTAAGGATAGTATTAGACTAGTGACAGTTGCAGAAGAGGAATCAGTCAGGAGCTATTAACAGTTTAATTGATACGCTTTTATGAAGAAGTGGGTTTTTAACGATTTTTTAAAGGAGTGGAGACTGGGTGAGCATCTAACGGAGGAGGGAAGCGAGTTCCACAGGAACGGTGCAGCCCTCAAGAAATCTTGAAGGCGAGCATCAGAGATGCGAGTACGGACAGAAGATAGACGTAAGTCTTCAGCAGATCGTAAGGGCCTAGACGGGACATACTTGTGTATAAGAGAGGATAGATAGGTGGGAGCAGCATTATGTAGAGATTTGAAAGCAAGAACCAGAATTAAATTGAGCTCTATATTTTATAGGAAGCCAATGTAGGGACTGACAGAAGGGTGAGGCATGGGAGGTGCGGGTGGACAGGAAGATGAGCCTCACCGCTGCATTCATTATGGACTGTAACAGCGCAAGTTGGGAGCATGTAAGACCACTGAGAAGCGGATTACAGTAGTCAAGGCGAGAAAGGACAGTGGAATGGACCAACATCTTAGTCGCATCTGGCGTTAAGTAGGGGCGGATGCGCGCAATGTTTTTGAGATGGAAATGACAGGATTTGGCGATAGATTGAACATCCTATCCATGCCTCTCTCCACACACAGCGACCCTTACTGGCCAGTGCGGGTATTACATCATATTCTCTGTTTATACAGAAAAAAAATGACAGGCAGCCTCAAATACTGGCTGTGCCAATAAAATAAGTCAGGTGGAAACCCTAAGAGTAGTGTGGGTAAAAAAAATAAAAAAATATATATATTTTTTTTTATTATTTTTTTTATTCAATGGGCCTATTCCATGGGCCTGGGCCTGGAGCTGCAGCTCCATCAGCCCCAAGGTTAATGCGGCCCTGGGCATAGGCAGAGGGGAGGGCTGTCTACTATTGGTATGGCAGCTGACTAAAAACAGCCCAGCTTGACACCTAACCATGCGCATTGTTCCATAAAGCCACTTATTTTTTTTAAATTTTCCATTTAATGTTTTTTATACTAATACAGCAAAAACTGGAGTACAGTAATAATAATGTTACATAACATTTTAGTATTTTACTGTGAGGCAGCAGGTTAAATACTTCTCTATATTAGTGGTACAGGGGGCAATAGATCCACTGCCCCTTGCCAGCCCTCCCCTGTGATGCAGATATTCTAATTCGAAGTCCCATTTGAGAAATACAAGACCTTCTGAAACTCTTTGACAATTGCACCCCTAGTGTCAAATCTTTGAATGCCAGTGGTGTTAAAAGTAGGAAACAGTGATGAACGCGGCAACATTGAAGATCATTTTCTTTTTCTTCTCATGCTTATAGCTTTGCATGTGGTGTTCAGCACCAAGTTACCTTAATTAGAACCCCATTACTAAACACAGGCATTTTCTAATTTTCATCTATAAATGATGTCCTCTGAAGCTGGCTACTGTGTATATCCCCAGCATTAACGAGGCAGCAAAAATGCTATTTAAGTGATATCATTAATTTTTATTATAGGAAGCAAGCAATTTGCAACCACAGCTGATCAGAGCAGAAAAACACATGCCATTGTTGGATCATTTAGGAGCCATGACTGAAATCTTATTTTAATGTTTAATGTCACCTTTTATACGGGTGTGTGGTATTGGGGGACATGTTTTGTGTTTACATGACTATATTCAATTAGACATTTTAAGGCTATAAACAGCAGACATTTTGTAGAAAATTAAATTAATAATTTAAGACTCACTTCACTACCTACCTCAAAAAAGGCATCATAAACTGATATCAATTAAAAACACTAATTCAAATAGTCTCATTATTCTAATTTAACCAAGCTATGGTAATATAGGTTGTATAGGCCAAAGACTCAAGCCCATCAAGTTCAGTATATCTGTTTTACTGCTGTTGATCCAAATGAAGGTGAAAAAAAAAAACAAGTTGAAGTGATTTTCCAATTATGCCACAAATGGAAACAAATATGTCTTCTCTCCACCAAATTGGCAGTCAGATTTCTCTTTGGATCATCAAACTGCCATTCAATATATAAACTAATATATTCTTAAATATACACAGAATCTGATAAAATAATCTGTTTAGGCAGAGAATTTCATATATTTAATCCTAAAGAGAGTAGCAGCAGTGCTGAACTTTCTCCATTTATAGATAATTTGTCTTACCGTGGACTGATGAACAGCAAGGCATTTGGAGATACTTGTATAACCCTTTCCAGCTTTATGCAAGTCAACAATTCTTAATCGTAGGTCTTCTGAGAGCTCTTTTGTGCGAGGCATCATTCACATCAGGCAATGCTTCTTGTGAAAAGCAAACCCAGAACTGGTGTGTGTTTTTTATAGGGCAGGGCAGCTGTAACCAACACCTCCAATCTCATCTCATTGATTGGACTCCAGTTGGCTGACATCTCACTCCAATTAGCTCTTGGAGATGTCATTAGTCTAGGGGTTCACATACTTTTTCCACCTGCACTGTGAATGTTTACATGGTGTGTTCAATAAAAACATGGCAACATTTCATTCTTTGTGTGTTATTAGTTTAAGCAGACTGTGATTGTCTATTGTTGTGACTTAGATGATGATCAGATCACATTTTATGACCAATTTGTGCAGAAATCCATATCATTCCAAAGGGTTCACATATTTTTCCTTGCAACTGTATGGTATGGACAGTGTTTAAAGATACCTAATTGTGTGTATTGTGTCTTTACATTCAGAGAAACAGGCTTGAAAGAATTAAGGGGGAAATTATTGTGACAGTCAAATGGCTCTTAAAGGGGAACTGTAACTTCCCAGGTTTTTAGTATTATGTTTACTTATCCCTATATAGGAATAAAAAAATAAAAAAAGTAGAAAATCACACCTGTATTCAGCAACTGGACACCTCCAGGAGAAATTAAAGTAGTACTATGGTGTTAGGAACAGAAACATGTATAGCAATATAGGGTTCTAATCTCTATTTAGAATTCAGGTTCTCCAAAAAACTACAGTAAAAAACTGAATCCATTGCTTCACTATGATAAGCATCAAAAGAAAATTTGAAGTCCAGATGAAATGCAGGAGGATTTCCAAGTCACATAACACAGTCTGACTCCGTTGTAGGAGTGGAAACACCCTCTAGGAGCTGTTGGCAAGAATGACACTAGAGGTGTAATTAGCCCTGCAATGTCCACATTGCCATATGTACAAAACGGCAATGTTTTACATTGCGGGGGAAACAGGTTTACTATACCCAGATTACTTCATTGAGATTAAGTGATATGGGTGCTTATAGTAGTCATTTAAACACCAGGGCAGAGTTATCAAAGTGTTGCACTGAAGAAATGAAAAAAAATAAAGCCCAAGACTGGACGTATGTAACTTATTACATTTGAGTGTTCTTTTTCACTTTTCTGTGCAACGCTTTGCAAGTGTTGTAGTAGTTTAGTTGAGTGTTTTTTCTAACTACAGTACCACTGTGGGGTGATGGGATTTGTGACGGACTGCTTGGCACCCTGACTGGGTACCTCTGCTAATCAATGCTTCCTAGCTGTCGCTGAGTACCATAAGCACTGCATTGGACACCATGAGCACCATAGACCTTAGCCGTCACTGCTTGGCTGGGGTCTCGCAATCCCTTCCCACCCTGGACCAAACTCCTGGATCCAGCTCCCAGTGGGAAGGCCTCTCCTCCAAGAGAGTATAGCCGGTATAGCAGTGTAGCTCTTACAAGAGCTAGTGATTATAGCATTCCAAAGAACAATCCCAGGACCAGGGGTTATAGCAGGTATAGCGGTTCCCCTAATTACGAGACAAGGCTCTGTGTTGAGGGTAAGCAGGAACTCGTTTATTGGTAGCCACACCTGGCCTTATATGCAAGTCCCCATGCAAGGACCACTCCCCCTGGACCTGAGAGTAATCCACTGCAGAAACAAATACACAATTACAGATCCAGGACACATAACTAGGTCAATCCCTCCTCTGTACCTGGGAGATAATTGAGTCAAGTACTGTATTAACTCAATTATCTCCAGACACAAAAACAAACATTTTCATAAACCCCCACAATGCCTTTAAACACACAAAACCCCTACAAAAGTTACATCCCCTGATAGCCCCGATCTGGGTGAACAGCATATCCAAAAATCACCTAGATCGGTTCAGGGGTTCAGGAATTTCCTGGAAATCATAGGTTTGGCCGACCGCACGCATGGTCCCATGCCCAAAACCGTTCCATAGAATCGCGGCTAAGTGCTGCTGGGGACCGACCAGGAACTGCGAAGTCTTCATGATGAAAACAGTTCCATAGAATCGTGATTAAGTGCTTCTGGGGGACCGATCGGGAACTGCAAAGTTTTTATGCTGAAAATAGTTCCAGGGCATTTGCGGCTAAATCCCCCTGAAGTCTATTCGCAGTTTTGGTCCATGGGAACGGCAGCCAGGGAGCTAGAATTTGGATCTATGGAATGTGCCAAACAAGGGGAACCAGTGGGAATAAAATATGGGTCTTTATGGGCCAGCTCAGCGAATGTAGTCTTTTGGCAGGCTGGCAATCAAGCCCCTCCAAAAGCCGTGGCGAGATTCTGTTCGCCTCGGGGTTAATAATTCTACTTTTGCAATGTGATTCTTGCAGCCCTTGTAATGATACCTAGGGGTCGGTTAATCGAAACCATTTATTTACTTTGTCCAGCCATGACATGATAGTCTGTCACAATGTAAAATTTATGAAAAGAAAAAAAAGAAACCTTTCATGTCACATTATTTTT